GAGTTGGGGGACAAGATAAGGGAAGTGTTCAACAGTGCAAATGAAAAAGCAGGTATCCCCCTTCCCCATCAGGAGTGGGATAAACCACAGGGCAAATGTATATAGCATGAAACAGGATATGGATGGGAGGAGCAATGAACACTCCTAGGGCATAAACCCTTTGAGCCCCAAAGGAACTCTCTAATGGTGAAAGAGCTCAGGCACCAAGCCTTCCCTAGAATGTAGCAATTGAGAGATGGGAAAATGAGAATGGATGACTCCAGTGGTGGTATTCTACCAGTTAGGCCCAGTTCTCCCAAACCGGTAGCTCCGAGGATCATCTGTGAGCGAACCGGTTCACTTTAATGATCAGCTGCTGGGCCCACCTGCCTGCCCCAGCTCTATTCTGACCTTTATTTCCTGGTTTTCAAGCTCAACTGCTCCGCGCAGCACAGCGGATTGCCGTGCGTCAGCTGTCTAACACACAAAGAGATTGCAGGATTGCAGAAGGGCAGTAGCAAACTCTCTGAGCATGCGTGCAATGCGTGTGAAACATACGCTCACCGAACTGGTTGTTACACCGATTAAATCACACCCCTGGATGATTCCTTGAATTACTTCTTCCCCAGCAGCAGGCTTAAGCCTTGTGAAAACAGAACAGAGGAAGCCATCAGGGCTCCGTCCTTTCCATGTAGTCCTGCACTCATTCTCTTGCTTTCCAAATAATGAAGAGTAGAAGAGGAAGATGGCAGGGGAGATCTATTGCTGCTGAGACAAAAAGTTTAGTTGGGGAAGCAGTGGAGAACAAGGTGGTACAGCAGCACTAGTGGTTTCTCACCCCTTCTATGCCGCTTATCTGTCCCAGCTCCTATTCCTTGAAGGCATAGAGCAAGGAATAGGGAGTCCATCATCCCCTCTGCTAGTGTCCTCCAAGCTACCACTTGGGCTGCCTTTGGCACAGAGGTGTCAATCATGGCAACTTTAAAACCTGTGAACTTTATCTCTAGGAATTCCCTAGCCAGCTAAGCTTAAAGTCTTAAAGGTTGCCAAGGTTGGGCACTCCTGCTTTAGGGTTTGCATGAACCTACTCTTTCCTATTTACTGGCTATTCTTGTTTTTTATGACTTGAAAGAAGAAGAGCTAAGGTGGACCACACACTGTTTTTTGAGAGTAGAATGTTGGCAGTGTCAGAGTGCCTTGGATAGCAGTTCTAAGAAGCAGAAATAGGTGGAGATTGATTTCAAAATCTTAGAATAAGATCTGCAAGATTTTTTTTTTATTGTGGGCTTTCCCCGCATAAACTGGGTGCTCAGTGGACAACAGACATGGACAACAGACATGTGATCAATATTTTGTCATTCTTTTTTCTCCTAGAGAGGAGGAGAGGATACTGTTCATCTAACCCTAATGAATGAACATGAATTGACTGTCTTTGCCAATGCTTTTACATATAACTCTTCTCTTAATCCATGCATTGTGTCAATGAACAGAAACAAAAGTGGTATAACAGGTAAAAAGGGGAAAATAAGAGGGTTTGTTTTTTGTTCTTTCCTTCTATTCTTATTTGATTTTTCCAATATTTATACCTTTCAGTGTATAAAAGTGTTGAAAGTGTTTTGCATATTTAGGCAATAAAGTAGTTAAAATTTAGAGGTTCAGAATAAAAAAAAAAATCACGACTGTTCTTTCACTAGCCATCATATTGGGTAGGTAGGATAATTTTGATACAAAACGTGCTACCCTCAGGATTCTCTCGTTAATATCTTAAAGACACCTTTTTCAGGGTTTTCCTTTCAACTAGACCCAGATAAAACATTTGTGCTTGCTTAGTACATTTCCAGCTGTTAGTCATGCTTCCAATTGGCTGATTTGCTTAGGCACATCATTGAAGGAAAAAAGGTTGAGAGATGCTATCTAATATCCAATTATACCTGTCAAGGCTGCCAGTGCAAACAGGAGAGATGACTGTCAGCATAAAGAAAATCCCATATTAACTTTGAATACTTTCTGAGTGCAGCATATAACTTGCATATTGGTCGAATGAAAGAATTGAGACATAATAGCCACTGAGATTTGTTGCAGGAGCACGATGCATTTGATTGCCAGGTGTTGAGGCTAAATTGTCAGACAGTTTTTGCCTCAATGTCCTGCTTATCACCTTCCCCTTATCTTACAGAACTGCAGGTTTGGAGATAAAAAGCAGAACCAAATGGGTTTCTCTGAAGACAGTTTTATATCAGGCAAAGTTTTAAAATACTAACATATTGTCAACCTTTCAATGTGGAAATAAAACAGAATATGGATATCTGGGTTTGCAGAAGAGTGGGTTGTTATGAGAGCAGTTGGTTAGTAGCTATAACAAAAAAGTATTGTCTTTTTTTTCTTCATTGCAGGAGGTCAGCTGCTTGTGATAGGTATTTCTCCATTTTCCAATTATACCCCATTTGATGTGAAGGTCAAAATTGGGGACGCTGCCGTTCAAATTCAAACACTAACCGATCGTGGAATCAGTATATTACTGCCTCCTCTTGCAGAAGGATTGCACAGACTTTCAATATTCCTCTATCATCTCCCACTCAATGCAAGTGGGTAAGAGGCGCTGATTTTTCATGGTTAAAATTTGCAACATAATAGAATTTTAAGAGAAATAATGAGACAAATGAGAATGGAACCTGACGCCTATCTGCCAACAGGGGTCAACAAGCTGGATCTGTGATTATTTTGGGCAACACCAAAAGCTCTATAAATTAATTTTCTCTTGATTAGGTTATTATGAAATGCCCAATATTGTATTTACAGTTTTCATTTATCTGCCCTTCTGAAAACTGCACACAGTAAGACATTATTCTCTTTTCTTTAAAAAAAAAATGCAGAAAGAAATGTATCATTTGAAAACATTGCACCTAAGATCTTCTGGTAGGCTAGCATGAGAAGCTGGAAGGAAAACAGATTTGTCTCAGTCAGCTGAGGATCACATGGAATTGAGTAGAGGGGTAGACAGGACTTTTGGTGAATATTCACAAACATATGAATTCAGTACATACAGCCAGGGGTGGGCTTCAAAAATTTTAGCAAAGGGTTCTCTACCCGGTTGCTGGGTGGGCGTGGCCATGGTGAGCATGGCCTAGTCAGCCTCCTGCACCATGGTGGGGTAGTGGTGTTTTTGCCCTCCCCAGGCTCCAGAGGCCTTCCTCGAGCCTCCAGGAGGATGAAAACGGCCTCCCCAAGCTCTGGAGGCTCTCTGGAAGCCAGAAATGGGCCCATTTCCGGCCTTCCCAAACTTCCAGGAGGCCCATTTTTCACCCTACCCAAGTTTCTGCATGTCCCCTGCACTTACATGTATCCAAAACAGACCGTGTGGGGACTCCTGGGAGGGGAGGGGTGGGTGGGGCCACCCAGGAGTGGGATTTGGGGATTCTTCGAACTGCACAGAACCTTAGCTAGGGGCTCTCCTGAACCCCTGCGACCCCCAGCAGCCCACCCCTGCATACAGCATCATGTCCAAACCCAGAATTGAATATCTTGCAAATCACATCTGCCATTTCTGTTGAGGCAAGTGATATTTGAATTAATCAAGACTGGATTAAAACTTTTTGCAGATGGTGGGAAAAAAACCCCATGTTCAGTTAACAGTAAGAGACTTATTTATTTTCCAGATTGGAGCCATTAATCCAGTATGTTACAGAGATCTTCAGAATAGAACCATGTTGTGGCTCCTTCCTAGGTAAATAATGTCATAGTTTTGGACATGTTTAAGAAGAAAAAACTTGGGATGACTGAGAATGATTGGAAAATATGAATACATGCTGAGCAGCTCACATTTAATGGATGAAGCCTGCAGTCTATTCTATGATAAAGCTCAGATGGCCCAATACCTACATTTGTACCTTGTCTGTTTTTTCCAAACCCTCCAGCTACCTAAGGGATGAATATAATATATCACCTTTACATTGAAAAATCTTAAACTAAAACCATTTAGTTTCTATTTTGTAATTAAAATTTCCTATCCTCAATACTCATTTTCCAATTTTTTTTCTTTTCTCACGTTACCATTAGTGAATTCATGGGGGCTAATTATTTTAGCAAAATTTATAAGCATGGAGAGTGGAGTTAATTCTTATTTCAGAAAACAAAATAGTTTTTCTGGCTTTCCCTAACCTTCCATCTCTCTTACATGATTCTCTAAGAGCTGTGGTAGTGCAGTCAGTACTATAGGGTACCTATGCTGACTGCTGGTTGCCAGTAGTTTGGCAGTTTGATTCTGAGTGGCTCAAGGTTGACTCAGCCTTCCATCCTTCCAAGGTGGGTAAAATGAGGACCCAGATTGCTGAGGGCAATAGGCTGACTCTTTAAACCACTTAGAGAGAGCTGTAAAGCACTGTGAAGTGATATATAAATCTAAGTGCTATTGCTATTTACAGTGTCAGCATAGTGTCCCCAACAATCTGGGTCCTCATTTGACCAACATTGAAAGGATGGAAGACTGAGTCAACCTTGAGTGACTCAGGATCGAACTCCTGGCAGTGGGCAGAGTCAGCCTGCAATATTGTATTCTAACCACTGCGCCACCATGGCGCTTTATATTAAGGTTTTGTTTATAACACGTTTATATCAGTGCTGTAGTAAATTGACGGAATAATAAGCCACAAAGATAGAATTTAAAATACTGAAACACCAATAAAACATATAGAGAGAATTTAAAATACTGGAAAAAACAAAACCCTGAAACAATTAACTTCCCAAGCTTCTTTCTAACTGGGTTGCCTCATTGGACATCTTATTCTGTACTAAAAATACAATAATACATAGTTGTTCAGATTATATTAATTTTGAAAAAAGTTAACATTCACTAACATTTTTATCTCTTTCCTAGGTGGAACATTGCTCACCATTTCTGGAATAGGTTTTAGCAACAGCCCAGCCTTGGTCTCGGTCCTGATTAATTTTCAATCCTGTACTATAACCAGCCTAACTGAAGATAAAATTTTATGTCGGACCCCACCACCCACTCAGTCATCTAATACCATTCTCAAAAATCTTCTGGCAGATATAGAGGTATACATAGGCAACCGGTCATCAGTAGACCCATGTCAAACGAAAATCTTTAAGAATTACACTTTTCTTTACAGCATGTCTTTGACTCCAAATATCATAAACATTGAAACAGAATTATTGAACAATAGTCTGCACCTAGGCGTAGAAGGGGTCAATGTAACAAATTCAGTAGCTATCCTGGAACATGTGGAATGTCCCCTTGAAGTACAGAAGATCAACCACTCTATAACTTGGTCTCAGTGCTCCTTACCTGTAAGCGCTCTAGAACCAGGGCACTATATGATGAGAATTCTCCAGAAGCAAATGGGCTTTGCCAATGTACCAGCTGAGATGCAGCATTTTACAATATACCCACAGATAAAGACTATCTTTCCATCTCGTGGCTCAGTGTGTGGTGGGCAGTTGCTCACAATATCTGGCCATTCTCTCAAATCTTGGACAAATTCTGCTTGGGTAAATCTAACAGGCAACTTGTCTTGTGATGTCCAAAGCTCGAGCGAACACAGCATAATCTGTGCACTTTTTTCAAGTGATCCCCTTTTGGATGATCAGCAATTTCCTGATGTACACCAAGCTCTTTATGTCACGGTGAATGTCAATGGAATGTATAGCCGTTGCCTAGGAGACTGCTTGTTCCACCTTTTTGCAAACAAGACTGTTGTTATTGATGCCGTCACTGTGAAGTTTGCTGGGATCTTAATTTCCTTGTTAATCAGAATTCAAAAATTAGTTTGGCCAGTGGATGAAATCCTTATAGAGGTGGATGGACATCTTCCTTGCAACATAACTTCTTTGAACAAAACCAGTATTGAATGTCAGACACACAGCCTTGATGCAAAAGAACACAGCATTTCAGTATTGAGCAGAAGATGGGGTTCAGCCTGCCTGAGACAGAAAGACTCCAATATCTTCAGAATTACTCCTCAGGTGCTCCATCTTTATCCCCAGAATTTCAGTATCAATGGCGGAGGCCTCCTCACCTTAGAAGGTGCAGCACTTCAAGGCAGGAGCAGCACTTCAGTTCTCATAGGAAATCAGAAGTGTCTCCTTACCAAAGTCACATATTGGGCTCTTCAATGCCTTGTGCCTTCAGGCCAAGGGACTGTGATCGTGGTGCTCAACATAGACAATATGTCATATTCTGCTGGGGAAATAAGCTACAGTGAAGAATTCACCCCAGTTTTCCTCTCCCTTCTGCCTTCTACCGGCCAGCTTCTCACAATAATTATTTCAAAAGTTAGGCAAATGGAAGACATATATGTTTTTATTGGAGGGTCTTCCTGCACCAATGTTACTAGCAAAGGTACCAGTTTGCAATGTGTTCTTCCTCAGCTTCCTACTGGAGAATATAATGTGACAGGTGGAATTGTGCAGAGAGGTTGGGCTTCCTCCAGTTTGGTATTCACTTCGGTCCTGACAGTTATCACAGTGAAAAACAGCCATGGTAAGTATGTGGATGCTTCTGGGGACCGGAAGTCTATAATCTCATTGAATTAATGCTAGAAACAGACCCGAGAGCTATAGCAGCAAACTTAGAATTTCAGAATTATATTTGGTTGTTGTCTTTGTGAAATAACTTGCTGTTTCTTCTAGATTAGAATTTTTCCTCGAAGTGATAAACTTATGGTTTACCTTGCAAGTCATAGATCATGTTTATGTTTTCTCATGACAATCTGTTTTCCTGCAACAAAGACATAACAAACTTTTTTTTCTGTTCGATGTTCAGAAAACACTTGTGATACCACACTTCTTACAGCAGAAATGCTTCACCATCTGAGCTTCAAAATCCCATTACTAGCTTTGAAGCAAAGTCCAAGTATCACAGCTGACTTTCACCACTTTATGTTGACTTTCCTTGGTCATTCTACATCTGGAGACATACTTCATGAAAGTAGATGGTCAGCAAGACCATTGTTAACTGTCAAATGAAGGGTATTACAACGTGTTAATACATCACATTAAAAGAGATACACCATAGAAAGCAGTGGTGGTATTCTACTGGTTTGGCCCAGTTTGGGTGAACTGGTAGAATACCACCAGTTTGGGTGAATTGGTAGTAAAAAAAAAATGCTACCGGTTCAGCCGAACTGGTATTTCTAACGATCAGCTGTGCCGCGCGATTTAGATTAGCTAGAAAGCAGGAAACTGTCAGATTTCTTGCTTTCTAGCTAATCTAAATCACATGGCACAACTGATTCCCCCCTCGCTGTTGTACTTACCTTCAAAATGCTTCTTTTTTCTGTGCCCAGGGAGGCTTCCCTGAGGCCCAGTAGGCAAAAAATTGGGTGCAGGGGGGAGGTGCTGCAGGAAAAAACCCACATAGCCATGCCCATCCAGTCACATGACCACCAGGCCATGCCCACAGAACCAGTAGTAAAATAATTGAATCCCACCACTGATAGAAAGCAATAGCTCTGCAGATGATAACAGTGGGATTTTAACAGGTTATTGAATAATCAGCTTGTATACTACAGTTTAAATTTGTTGTTATCCAACTTAGAGTTTATCTATTGGGTTGTCTGGAGTGATAAAACAGGGATGGGCAATCAAAGACTCTCAGGACACTGTAAGCTCCTCTACTTTTTTTTGCTCCCAAAACCTCTCAAAATCCTGCTTCCACAGAATGATTTTTGGTAGCCTGCTTATTTTTGTGTACAAATCAAAATTGAAAGTAGGCATGCTAACCCTCTTCTTTTGGGTGAGTTTTGGAAAGGCTCAAAAACTTTTCCAAAAGCAACCCCGAACAAGAAAATAGATTTTTTCCTGCTCCACTCCAAGACCAGAATAAAAGAAAATAAATAGAAAAGAACAAATGAAAATGGCTTATCCTTTGTGTAAGGTTTTACTCTTCATACTTATATGCCATCTTATTTGTATACTCATATTACTTTCCTTAAAGATTTATGAAAGGAACAAGGAGAGTCATTGTCTTTATTGACTGACTTCCAGAACATAGTACCATATTTCCAAAATGTTATGGGAAGCTGTGGATGACAAATTTTAGCAACAGCAAATTGTGAAACGCTATGCACATTATTTCTTTTTCAAGGCAATCTTGATGGAGGAGAAATATATATACATGGAAATGGGTTTTCTCCAGGAAATACCTCAGTCACCATTTGTGGTTCTCCTTGTGAAATTTTGAATGTGACCACCACAACTGATTTGAGCTGCTTAACAGGGCCTTTGAAAGGTCAGTTGAATGACTGAAATGTGTTAATTGAGATAAGAATGATAGAGAAAGAAAATATATTGACTGCACTGCCAATTGCTTCTCACTCCTTTGGGAACAAAGGATTAGTGTGTCTCTCTTGCTGCTATTTTAAATATAATGAATGAAATTGGCAAGAAATTAGTTGTCCTTCAGTATGAACTTGAAAGAATGTGGCATATTAGTGGCTAACTAAGAATAAACTGATCTTGATTTCTATTACATCACATGCATATATATTGACTGTTAGGTCTGTTTCATCCTCTTTCTGTGTAATTTGTTTCTTGGAAAGAAAACACTAACATGCAAATGTTTTTAATGATTTTTAAAAGAGTTCGCTGTTTTTGCACGAGGAAGTTAGAACTCCTGTTCTTCTCTCTTCTCTTCTCTTCTCTTCTCTTCTCTTCTCTTCTCTTCTCTTCTCTTCTCTTCTCTTCTCTTCTCTCTTCTCTTCTCTTCTCTTCTCTTCTCTTCCTCTTCTCTTCTCTTCTCTTCTCTCCTCTCCTCTCCTCTCCTCTCCCCTCCCCTCCTCTCCCCTCCTCTTTGTTGTAGAATCTAGAAAATGTGACACCAGGCACACTAGTTGAAAAATGCCCTGGATTAGCCATGCATTTTGACTTGTTACTCTTTCCTGCTCTGCCAATGTTATGATAAGGCAACTACCTACCTTTCTAAAGCCACCATAATCTCCCTTTATAAATATTTTCCTCCCAAAAAGTTAAAATCAGCAGCCAAAGTTGTAGAATTGTAAGTTTATTGTAGTGGTAGTATTCTACTGGTTTGGCCCGGTTCTGCCGAGCCGGTAACGGCGATGAGCGGCGGAGACTGAACCTGGTCTCTCCGCTGCTCTGCTGTTGGGCCCACCCATCTGCCCGGCTCCCACACTCACCTTTATCCTCTGCTTTTGAAGCGCAGCTGCTTTGCGCGGCACAGCAGAGTGCTGCGTGGCAGCTGCTGAAGCTACTGGGAGAGTGCAGGCTTGTAGGAGGTGAGTTTGACCGCCTCTGTGCCTGTGCAAACACCTGCGCAAAGTCCATGTTTGGCACACGTGCACATGTAAAGCATGTGCATGCACGCAAAGCACGCCCACCAAGCCACGCCCACTGAACTGGTGGTAAAACTTTTTGAATCACATCACTGGTATATTGTATATCAATATGTTTCTTTAGCATTAGATGTAAAGTTGCTTTGTTATTTTTCTGTTGACAAGCCAGAGTAATAAAGTACATACTCTGATTATTCTGCTGAGAGAAACAAGCCAGAGTAACTGATTCTCATATAATGCTAAAGAAACCAGGGAGGCCTCCATTGGCTAGATGAGCCAAGAGAGAGACATTAGGCATTATCAATTAGCTGACAATTTGTTCCTAAAAAGGAAAAAAGAAGGGGAGAGAACATTTCAAGTGCTAGTAGGAAACAATTGATTGTACAGAAGACTGCTGTCTTTCAGAAACTTCTTTGATAAAGGGTGTTATAAAACCAGCTTGTCCTTGTAAAACATCCCTATCTAAAATTAGATAAGGTAAGGTCAACATTCAGCACAATTTGTTTTTAATAATAAATAATAAATTAATATTTTATAAGACTCCTTTTTCATCTCTAAAATACTGAAATAATAAACATGTCAAACAACCAGTCGTTAATAACAAGAACAATCTTTTTCACAAATGGAAAATATCAATTTTTAGGGAAGAAACACTAAGCTTGTGTAAATTTTTCAAAAAGTTTTCAGAACATTACCTTAGCTTCTCTTTGCTTATTGGCAAAGTGAACAAGTAAAACAAGTGAACTCACAATTTTTTAAATATTTTTTAATATTTCTGAATTACTGTTCTCTACCAATATTCCCACATTGTTTTAACATTTCACACATCTTTTTTGTGGTAAATAATTTAGGAAACATCCACTTTAAACTATACAAAATAAACTGTATAAGCATTAGAAGTAAAATGAGTTCAGCTAAGTTATGAAATATACAAAAATCATTGCATTGAATTTCCCAATTGGATTATATTCATTCATAAGAAATGTAGTTAATTGTTAGATCTTGCAATATTTTAAACTGCCATTAGATGTCAGTAAATGAACATTGATTACTATTACTGATACCGCACTGAGAGTTTTCATTATTTTTATTATGTGTTACGCTGGTTGCTTCAAACCACAAACTGATTACTTTTGCTAGTAGAAGAAGACAAAACGTGAGAAATAGCCTGCAAATAAAAGTTTGAGTAACAGAAGAAATATTTGAGGTTTTTAGTTTACAATAAACCAATTGAGCTAAATCAAAGGCAGGCTAAGAGGAACAGTCAACATTGGTTATGTGGTTATGAACCCAAGGAAGAAGGTCAAGAATAGGCAAAATCTTTACAACATTTTCCCCCTCACAGGGAAGGCTAGAGTGGGAAAATCAAAATATTTTTAATGAACAGGAAATATTCTGAGGCCCCAGGTTGTATGGGTTAGGATTAGGTCTGCATTTCTCTGAGAAGATACATGATGATGGTGGTTCCAAGGACTGAAAAGGATACTTGTTCATACTATACTGTATGTTGTAAGAAACAGCTCGTCCTGCCTCAGGTTTGTGTCAATTTGGGATCTGTTTATTGCACTGTAGTACTGGAACAGTTAGTAGGCAAAGGCAATTGCTGACATAATTTCCTCTTCCTCTTGCTGTTTTTTTTTTTTTTTTTTTGCGAAAAGCAAAAAAGCACTTGGTCTAGGCTTCAAACTAGCAGGGTTATGTGGCCTGAAGAGACAGGAAGAGCTCATTTGTTATTCTACAGCTAGTTTTTCCCTCCCTCAGAACATGAAGCCTTGCTGATCTTCTATCTTGCTGCCTTCTTCCTAAAGTGCACTAGAGGTGGTAACATGATTTTTATTAACCTCATTAAAGTGGGAAGCTTTGTTTAAATAGGAAAAAAAAAGATTAAAACACAAGCTTCTGATGAACAATTTTAAGGATCTAATAAAATATATGAAAAGAGGTTTTCTGAAATCTATTGCTAGAAAGATTTAAATGGAAGAAATGTTGGGAGATCAAGAGATCAACAGCAAGAGAATCACAGAAACACTAAACAAGGGAAAGAAGCGACAGAAAACCTCGAATGCATACTTTGTTTCATCTTCATTACAGAAAAAAATAGGTAAATCTGAGTTGATAGTTTTCGAAGGGGAAGCTGAGAAGCTGAGAAAAAGAGTGATGATAAAAAAAAATGGATGTCATCAGTCCAATAGGTACTGCTAAAAATCCTAGAACAACCAGGAAAGACTTTTTTTTTTTAATAAGGACAATGAGCACCTTGCAGTTCAGATATTCAGAATAAATTCCCGGAATCAGATTCCTTCAGTTCTATGGTTAGTTCCAGATTATTTTTTTCTGTAGAGCTCTGGAAGATCTAATAACAAAGGTGCTGAAATCTTCATGCCTTTTCCTTCTTCCACTGTGCGTCACAGACAAGAACAGAAGTAGAATCTTTAGCTCCAGATTGACCTTTTCAATTGGCAGATTTAGTAACTGATTTAGGATGCTGCTACTGTCCTTTAAGAATTGTACAGAGGTTGTGACTTTTCTTTTTTCTTTTCCATAGTCAACATTTGTTAGGGTATGATATAAAATGACATCCAGTTAATTCCTCCTTCTTATTCAGCTTACAGTGCAACT